CCATGAACACGATAGCCTGCAAGCTTGTTCCCCTTCCCTGATGGAGACTCAAGAACCTCAGAGAAGGTTCAACGGGTTGAAATGAATGAAACCTCCTTTACAGGTCATGTTGGCATCTATGGCAAACCTGACCCTAAAATCTACAGAAGGCTCATCAGAGAGTGCACCTATAAGAATCTGGAGGGCCAGTTCTCCACCTGCTTCACAAAGCTCCAGAGAAACTTCCTGAAGCATCGTCCACCCAAGCTGAAGAGTCTCATCTGCCTGGTCAAGCACTGGTACCAGCTGGTATGGCATCTGGCCCGTCTGCCGTGAGCCCCGTCTATACAGGGGGTGGGGAATGGAAGGGGTGATGAAGAGGAGGAAAGATGAGGAGCAAGGGGGGAGGGAAGGAGTGGTGGGGAGAGAAGAGAGAGAATCCAGAGGTGATGGGAGGTCAAGGGAGGGAGAAGGAGGGGGAGAGGGGACCTGGGAGGAAGGACTTTCCATGCTTGTTATGAGTGATTTCTTCTAGTCCAGTTTCCAGTCAACTAACTCACTCTTCAGCTGCATCTAATTCATTGTTAACATGTCATTTTGATCTTAGGATTTCTCTTTCTCTTCCTTTCTTCTGTTATTTTGAGACAGGATCTCACTATGTAGCTCTGGTTGTCCTGGAACTCACTCTGTAGACCAGGCTGGTCTTGGACTCACAGAGATCCTCCTGCCTCTACCTTCCCAGTGCTGGGATTAAAGCTCTCTGCACGACTGCCTGCCTTGATCTTTGGATTTCTAGTTGACTATTTTTTCAAACATACCCTGCCACTTTTTTTCTTCTTCTTCTTTTTTTTTTTTCAAGACAGGGTTTCTCTGTGTAGTTATGGTGCCTGTCCTAGATCTCACTCTGTAGACCAGGCTGGCCTCAAACTCACATAAATCTGCCTGGCTCTGCCTCCCAAGTGCAGGGATTAAAGTCGTGCCCCACCACCGCCTGGTCTCCCTGCCACTTTCTATGCTTCAATTTCCCTGACCTGAGAAACTATTACTCCTTTAAATATCCATGCATTAGTATTGTCTGGAGTTTTTATACATGTGTGAGAGCTATCTAGTTTCAGTGTGTGTATGCTGTTCATGGGAGCACATGAGTATGTGTGTTCATAATCATGCGGAGACTGCAGAGTCATGCCATGTCCTCAGTCACTCTCCAGTTTGTACATCCAGGCAGGGTCTCACACCTGCACCCACAGAGTACTGAATCACCAGGTCTTGATAATCACATAGTCCTCGGGACACCCATTTCCACCTGCTGAAGCTGGGATTATGAGTCGGTGTCCTCACTAGCCTGACATTCACGTATGTGCTGGTGATCAGAACTGCAGTTCTCGCCCTTGGACAGGGAGGGAGGCACTTTGTCCACTGAGCCAGCTCAAAAGGCTTTTCCTAGTTATGCAGAGCCGTGATAAAACCTTCAATATGAGCATCATTACTATCCTGCCCCCACCGTTGTTCCCTGGCTGTCAATCACTGTGCCATGATTCCTCCTGTGCCTGCTGGTAAATGCTCAGTCTTTGTGGACCACACAGTCTCCATCTCAACCACTCAGTCATTGGCTATAGCACAGAAGGACCTGTAGACTGAATCTACATGAACGGGTTTCTTTAAACATCCATCCTGCAATATTTCTGGAGTTTTGATGTGTGTGTGAGATATATCTGGGGTGGGTATGTGTATACCTGTTCATGGGAGCACATGCCATTTGGCAGATCTGTTACTGAATGAGGGCACCTCAGGTAGGGCTGCATATACCTTCAATGTGATGACCCCTCCCCCGTGAAAAAAGTCCTGATGGATATCTACCCAACCTGGGGGTGTGCTATCCTTCTTCCGAGGGGCTCTGGTGGCCAGTCATGGTGATCACACACACAGCTCATTTCCATCCCCTTCCAAGAAGGATTGAAGGCCCCTGACGTGACTTTGCATTTTCCATTTCTGACTGATGTTTGTCAAACCAAGTTATCCTTTTTTTCCTTTGCTTTTGTTTGTTTTGATGTGGGCTTCAGCTGTATAGCTCTAGGTGGCCTGGATCTGGCCATCCTCCTGCCTTAGTGCTGGGATGACAGCTGTGTAGACCTGATGTGCCCCGCCTTCCCTCCATCCTCAGGTGGACAAGGATTGCATCCTCCTGTGAGAGCAGCAGCTCCTGCCCAGAAGGCTCCGGAGTCAGGGTCTGTGCAGTGCAGGATTGTGACTTTAAAACCTACTGTCTGTGGAATGAGGAGACTTGAAGCAGTGAATTTAAATCAAAATTCTCTGAGTTCAAATCAAATCTAATTTATTTATTTATTCTCTCTCTCTCTCTCTCTCTCTCTCTCTCTCTCTCTCTCTCTCTCTCTCCCTCTCTCTCTCTCTGAGATAGGATCTCATTATATGTCTCACTCTAGCATGGAATTTACAGAAATCTGCCTGCCTCAGTCACACAAGTTCTGGTATTTTACACACACACACACACACACACACACACACACACACACACACACACACTCACACACACACACACTCACAACACCCTTCACACAGAGCCCTAATGGTTTCATAGTTCACTGTGGTGAATACATAAACACACAAATCCCATGATCACTAAAGGGGCAGGACATTGCTCAGACCCACCAGCTCCTGTCCCCAAAGCCCACTCTTTAATCACTGTGGTGGGGGAGGGGTGGATCTCCTTGGCCCTCATTCACTCAGTTCTCACTCTAGTGGCTCTGAGAACCAGGAGCCCCAGTGTCTTGGGTGTGAGAACATCCATGTCCTCTTGACCACAGAACAAATCACACTCAGCCCTGTGTTCTTTCTGACCCCTAGACACAATGATGGTGGTCTCAGATTCCTTCACTGAGCAGCATTTAGCCCATGTGACTCCATACAAAACTCCACAGATGAGGGGTTAAGCTGACGGCAGGCTATGGAACGCTGCTCCGTGAAGGAAGCAGTGAGCAGACATTTCTGGAAATGCCCCCAAGACATGTCCAGAGGTGTTTCCAGAGAGGGTCTAAGGCTGGTGAAGTTGGCCATGAAGAGGAGCCATTGTGGGCCATTAGAAGGAACCACAAGGCATGTCCAGAGAGTGAGATCCACGGCTGTCACAGCAGGTCTGTCCCCCAGTTACTGACCTGGATTGAGTTTCAGAGATGAACCCATTGAGTGTAGATGAAGTGGCTTCCTGGGGAACCGAACTCTGTGGTAATATGGTGGACAGAGCAATGGTTCCCCTCAGTTGGCATGTACTACTTACTCAGTGGGTGGATGCTGGAGAGGAGGAGGCGCCTGACCTTGGGCAGAAGATCAAAGCTGAAGACTGGGTTTGGAAACCCAAAGTGTCTGTCATCAAACCCCAAAGTTCCCTGACTAGGATGGATGGTAAGTCAGAACCAACATGGTGCCCTCAGGAAGAGCAGGGATGAGCACTGTGCTTAGGGACAAAGGGCTCTTGGGCAGGTCCAGTCTGGAGCAAGCATGAGGCTTCACAACATGGCAGTCAGACACAGTGATGTGCAAGTGTCTACTGTGGACATCTTTCCCCATCTGAGAGATGATCTTTAGTCACCCTGTGGTCATGGAAACCTGATCCTGCCACCTTGTGGTTCCTCCCTAGGACTGCTCATCACTCATCCTATGACCTGCTGTTAACCTCCATGATCTTTATCATTGGGAAGGCTCTCAGAGGTCCACACAGGAGGTCATTCCCTCATGGAGACATGGGATGTGGCCATTACATGTCACATGTGGACTTGCTTTAGTGTGGGGTACATGAGGGCTCACATGGTGGGTCTCCTCAGCTTGGCAGGAGACATGGCGGCCCCTCTGGCCATTATTTGTTGAAACCTTCTCTGTGTATCTGGGGGTGTTTCAGAAGAGGCAAGACTGGAATCATAGACCAGCATCATGGGGTCCACCAAGGGCTCAGATAGAGCACAGGGCAGAGTGTAGTGTGATCTGAGGTCTAGGGGACATGTGTCTTCTCGTGTTCCAGGACATTGGGGCTCCTTGTTGTCAGGGTCACTAGAGTGAGAACTGAATGAATAAGGGCTGGAAGCACACACACACACACACACACACACACACACACACACACACACACACAAAGAGTTATTAAGGGAATTAGCACTGGGGACATGAGCATGCTCTGGGAGCAGGTGGATCTGTGCAATGTCATGAATAATCTCTTAAGTAAGCAGGGTACAAGAGGTGAGTGTACATGTGTGTTTTTGGGGCTGACAAATGAGCTATTAGAACCATTAGGTCTCTGTGTGGGTGGTGATGGTAGTGGTGGTGGTGGTGGAGGTGGTGGTGGTGGTGGTGGTGGTGGAGGTGTGTATGTGTGTTGTGTGTATATTGTATGTGTGTGTGTGTGATTCTAGAACTCAGGAGACTGAAGCAGGAGGATGCCTGTGACTTCCAGGCCAGCCTATGCCACATAATGCGATCTTCTCTCAGAAAGAGAATAAAGAAGTGGACACTCACTGTGATTTAATTCAGTGCATTCAAAGCTCATCATCATCACAGACGACCATGTTTCTGTTTTTGTGACCACCAGAGTCACAAATTCCATGCACAATTTTTCATGCACTTCCTCAAATCCCAGCCTGCATGTTGCAGCCACAGTGCATCTTCCCGGGCACTGCTCACATTCCCAGATCCCCTTGGCCATATGCAGCTGCAGAATCACATGGGGGCAGGTCTAGAATCTTGTCTTGGGGACATGGACAGAAGGAACCAAGGATTCCTGTCTGGGATTTATGTGATCTAAGAGACCTGGAAGGATCCCCAACCATGTGGCGTCATAGCTGCAGTGGATTGGTTCTGCTCTGTCCACTGCTGAGTGCTTGGTGCCTGGACCCTCATGGAGCATATAATATGTGCTCAATAAATTCATCTAGTTGAACCATGAGCACGTACACACACACACACACACACACACACACACACACACACACAGCTATACACCTATGGCTCACACACCCTCATGGCATCTGCTGTGGTTTATTGTTGATCAGAAATTGAACAAAAACCTCCCAACAGGTGCACAGACAGAAGTCAAGCTGGAGTTCTTCCCTCCCCTTCTGAATCTCTTGTCCTCCAGAGAACATGTTGTAGGGTAAGGCAGATGAAGCAGCCATGAGGAAGACTGTCTGTGATGGGACAGGATGGAAGTCTGATCCCAGGTTGGACTCTCCCTCTCTGGTCAAGGCCTGCAGCAGAGGAGCACATCCCCCGACTCCGGAGCCTTCTGGGTAGGTGCTGCTGTGCTCACAGGAGGACACAAGTCCAGTTCTCGTCCACCTGAGGATGGAGGGAAAGCAGGGCCCATCAGGTCTACACTGCGGTCACCCCAGCACTAAGGCAGGGGGATGGTGAGCTCCAGGCCACCTAGAACTACACAGCAGCAGCCCACAGCAAAGAAATAAGAGAAGGAAAAAAGCTAACCTGATGATATGGCACTCTAATCTTCACCTGAAACAGGAAACACACAATCATGTCAGGATCCCACATTCCTACTTGGAAGGGAATGTTTATGAGCCTTACATAGGAATAAAAACAAAGAAAAGAGCTCACCTGATGATTAGGCACTCTAACCTTCACCTGAAACAGGAAACACACAATCACGTCAGAATCCCACATTGCTACTTTGAAGGGGATGTTTATGAGCCTTACATCAGAATAAAAACAAAGAAAAAAATCTAACCTGTTGATATGGCTCTCTAACCTTCGCCTGAAACAGAACACACACAATCATGTCAAGATCCCGCATTCCTACTTGGAAGGAAATGTTTATGAGCCTTCATCAAAATAAAAAAAAAAAAAAAAGAGCTAACCTGTTGATATGGTACATTCACTTCTGACCCAAACAGAAAACACACAATCATGTCAGGATCCCACATTCCTACTTGGAAAGGCATGCAAATGAGCTCTGAGGGTGGGCATCATGACTGGCCATCAGAGCCCCTCAGAAGAAGAACAGCATACCCCCATGTTGGGTAGATGGCCATCAGGACTTTTTGGGGAGTCAGCACATTGAAGATGTATGTAGCCCCACCTGAGGTCCCCTTGTTCAGTAACAGATCTGCCAAATGGGGGATAGAGCCTAGCGACCTATGTGCTGAGTGGCAGTCCTGGAGGCCACAGCAGCCACAGCTGCCTCCCTCCTGGGTCCCTTCTCCTTTCCTTCCTAACCTTCTGAGGTTTGCCTTCCACATGGCTGCGCCCATATGAAGCTCGATCCTGAGTCCACACATGACCTCATCTGTTCCCTAGCATCAGAAAGTCCCCTGCCCTAGGAAGGGAAAGGCAAGAGTGCAGGTCCCTCTGTGCCTCTTTGGCTGTGACACAGCCCTGCTGAGTCCCAGTGACCACATGACAACGAAGCAGGAAAGATAGGCTGCTTCCTGGACCTGAGCACTGTCTTCAGAGTCCACGGGAATCCCAGCCCCATCACTTCTTAGCTGAGCGTCCCTGAGTCAGTGGTTTCAGTTCTGAGCCTCTTTTTCACACTCTCTATGTGTGTCAGTAAGTGGGTGTACCTGTGTGTGTGTGAGTATATCTGTGTTTACATCTGTTTGTGAGAGTTTGGATGTATGTGTGAAAGTGTGTGTATGAGCATATGAGTTTGCATGAATGTGTAAGTGAATATAAGTATATGAGAATGTGTGTGTGTGTGTGTGTGTGTGTGTGTGTGTGTGTGTGTGTGTATGTTCACTTTCAGAGGTGAAGGTCAGAGGAAAACTTGGAGGAGTCGGTCTCTCCTTCTACCATAGGGTTCTAGGGATCAAGCCCAGGTCACCAGTGTTGGCAGCACATGCTTTACCCACTGGGCCATCTTGCCAGCCTGTGACATCTCTGAATGCTGCTAAAATG